ACCTCCTTGGATTAAGGACCACTGGTCTCACAGCACAGGGTAGAGCATCCACTGCTTGGTAGTGCATTCTGACCACCGAGATGGGACCTGGGCGTTCTTATCTCTTGGAACCGGAAAGTATTCTGTGGGCTGGATGTCCTAATTGTGGTGAACCCAGCTTGCCTTGTCTTCGCCACCTAGGACAAGGAGAGCAAGCAGGTTTCCGTGTCAGATTTTTCAATTCGGGCTGACTGACAGTGACTTTTTGGTGTCCTGTGTTAAGAAGACTTGAGGTACACTGTTAGGAGTGTCTGCGGTGATTAATTAGCAATGCTGCCATGGACGTGAACCTGGGGAGTAGGTCCACGGTCGCGCCTTGTGTTTAGCACTCATCACTCAGGAGGAGCTCCCGAAACCTCAGTGGCCCTGACCTTCCTTGTCGCAGCTATGCAGACATCTGCATGCAGCTTGTCTGGAAAGAAAAGGCAGCTGTTAACTGACTTTCAGTTTTATCCAACAAAGTTGTCACAGTCCATATGATCTCTGCTCTCCCTGCTTTAAATAAGGAAGCTCAAGGTCTTGCCCCCAAACCCCACACTGGCTTCAACAGCAGTGATGTTCTTTCTAAGAGTGAGGGACACCCTTTCCCAGCGCAAGGAATTTCTGGGCAGCAAGGAGGCAGCAGCAACTACTGCAAGTTTGGCAGCCAGCCTCCTGAGGAGTGAGGTCCCTCCCGACTCTCCCCGCCTGAGACGCTGCCAAACGCCATCCACGTGCCCATGACCCGGGCTCCTCCATGGGAAGTGCCTCAGATAATGTTTGTGTCATTGGGAACACTGTTTGTCTGATGCCTATTAAAGGGCTAGTGAGGATGTGGCAGGGGAAAAGGGGGATAGAGCTCAGAGAAAAGGCAAACAGGCAAACGGGAGGTCCCCTCACGGCGCGGCACTGGGTGACCAAACAGGACTGCTATTCTATTCAGTGACAGAGCCCGCTCTGAGCCCTGAGCATGGCACTCAAGAGGCCTCGGCTCTGCAGAACCCCACACTCCCCTGCCAAGTGCCCCGGGAACGTGTCGACTCCCTGATGCCTGGTCACCAGGGCACAGAGGAACACTGTGGCACAGGCTCATTTAAAGGGATGGCTCTGACCAGCATTCCGCCCCCGGCCAGATCCCTGGGAGTGCGTCCCCTCCTTGTGTTACTTCTGGAAGCTATGAGAGAGCTGCTGTGAGGTGGAGTGGGGGGCCTGCATAAAGTGGAGGAAAATGTCACTGGCCTGCTGTGTGACTCGGGGCAACTCTCTTCCTCTCTGCAGGCCTTTGTTTGCCCTTCTAGAGGGGTGTCAATCTATAGCATGTGTATGTAGGCCCACTGCCCATTTCCATATCCATGGTAAACATCGATAATCAATCGCCACACTTTCGAAGCTTCAACACAGTCTCCAACCAGCCAGCAGCAATTACCTGGACTTGGCTCACAAGATAAAATCTACTGGCCATCTTGTGATTAGATGAGTTCAAAAGGTTCAATTCTAACATTGATTTCTTTTTCTTTCTATTTTTTTTGTTAAATGCTTTTCTTTCCCGGTGCTGAGGCCAAGCCAGATTGCTTTAAGCCTGAACCTTGGCGGAAACTACACCCTTAAAGAGGAGGGTCAGCCTTAGTAGACATGAGACAAGCTGACATGACCAGCAGGGGGTGTCCTGGGCCTGTCTGGTGCGGGCTCCAAAATGCTGGTCTGGTCCCACTTCTAACTGTTCATCTCTGTGGCTTTTACCCTTTTTTCACAAGAGTCTAACGACAGGTTATTCACAAATTTCACAAGCTCCTCAAAGTTCTAGAATTCTAGGAAGGTGGTACAGAAGGAATGCCAGGGACTGGACAACTCTGTCTAGTTCGCAGATGAGAAAACCAAGGCCTCATTGGAACCCACATCTGCTGACACCTCAGCCAGTGCCAAACTTCTTCTCCATCCAATTTTTTCTCTATATCACACTGGCTTATTTCTTAAAATTGGGGAAAAAAGCAAAAAATATTACTATTCTTTGCCCTTGAAGAGGTACTTTGTATTAATACTAGTACTGCTAATAACAGATCACTGTTTACTAAGTGCAGTGTTGAGTTCTTTACATACATTATCTTTACTGAATCCTCACATAACCCTGTGAACATACAATTGTGAGAACTAAAGCACAAGGGGGTCGAGTAGCTTTAAGGTACAACAGCTACTAAGTCAGAGCCTGGATTCGCTCCCAGTCCAAGAAACCGAGCTCGTCCTAACACAACAGTCTTCCCTTCCACTGCTCCTTTTGAGTCCCATACCCTTCAGGTAGCCAGGACAGGGAGCATGCCTCATTTAACAGAAGAGGACACTAAGGAACATGGAGGCTAAGGACCCTGCTGCTGAGGAGCAGCTGAGCTGGAAAGCAGTGTGGTGGCTGGCACAAGGCCAAGGGCCCTGGGGCCTCTCACTGTGCAGGCAGCTGGCCCAGGGAGGACTCCCGACATTTCCCTAGCATGGCTGATCCAGGCTTCTGCTTCTGAATCCAGACTGCCGGCTCCATCCCAAGATTTAAATTCAAGTACCCTTCTGGATATCTCCTGGTGAAGGGCGTTAATAGCTACTGGATCCAGTGAGTCTTAAATCATACCCCACCCTCCAAGTGAGAAAGGACATGTCCTCTCCTTGGTTAACTAACACATCCACTAGTGGCTAAAAGTCCCCAGCCTTGGAGAGTGAATACTGATGGATGGAGGTCAAACACAGGCTCCTGAAAAGAGTCTTCTCTCATCCGCCACTGGGCTAAGTCACTCATGCTCTTCACCAACTATTTCTGGTTCATCCCCCTTCTGTTACATGCTAAGATGGCATTTCCCAGCCTCCTTGAGGTTGAGTGGGCCACGTGACCAGTTTTGGCCAATGACTGTGCATGGAATTAACACCTCGCACTTCTGGGTTATAGCAGGTAATTGCCAGTGTGAGTCGTTCCAGAACTTTCTTTCCCTTTGTCACACGGATGGCAGCATTCCATATAATGGCTGCTTTTAGCCGGGGTCTAGAGCACAGTGGAGTCCCTAAATGGCCCATGGCCCACAATGGACATGTAGTACAACTTAGAAATAAACTTTTGTGGTTTTGAGCTACTGGACCTCTTTTTACTTTTAGGACCTTTGTTACTGTGGCATAACCTGGCTCCATCCTGACAGTTACATGACCAATGCCAACACTAACTCCGAAGCCAGTACCTCGCTAGGTATTGTGGGATGGGAATGGAAAGAACAGGGCCATAGATCTGACAGGTCCTGGAGCTCCAATCTTGTGGCAGAGACAGGCATGTACAGGACAGTAGATAATGGGAAGTGCCCCAGTGAGAAGCAGGGTAGAAACAGACCACGTAAGACCAGAAGAGATCAGGAAGGCTTCTGGGAGGAGCTGGTACTGGAGTTGGCCTTGATGGACAGGTTGGATTTGGGCATGTAGAAATGAGCAAAGGCATATCAGGGAGAGGGAACAGCATGAGCAAAGGACAGGAAATGCTGCAGAGAAGACTGTACTGGAATGAAAGGTCCGGGAAGATCAGAAATAAGAAATGGGGCTAAAAGGCCCAGGTTATAGAGGTTCTTGATGCTATGGTTTCAACCCTAGACATAGTAGGGAATCCCAAGTTTATAAGTAGAGAGTGACATGGTCAGTTTTCCGTTTTCGTCAAGGCCCCTTGTAGCCAGAGGAGAAGGCAGGCGAGGGCAGGGAGACACAACAGGCATGGATCTTAGAAGGATGCCGCAATGACCCAGGGTGGGCTGACGGTGGCCACAACCAGCGGAGGAACAGCTGGGAAATGGAGTTCGAGGCTGATTCCCAGAAGATGGGAAGAAAAGGCAACAGGTCTTGAATCTAAACCTGGGGAAACAGACAAAGAGAAACTTCCCCACACGACCCTACATGCCACACACAGGATGTGCACCCAGAAGCCGGGAAGAGGTTAGAGCTGGACCAGAAAGAAGTGATAGAGAGAGGGAGGTGGCAGCACTTCCGAGAACATACTGAGCACAGAAAACAAGGAGGTGGGCATGGATGAAAATGGAAGTCTGGGACCAAAGTAGGCAAGGCCTCGATGCCTGGCGGAGGCATACGGGCTTTATTTTACAGACCAGGGGTTGCAAACTTCTGGCCCACAGAATGACTCTAATCCACAGATGTTCTGTTTGGCAGATTTCAGAAGTCAAATTAGTCGCTAACGTTTAAAGCCAAAAGAATTCACATCAAAATTCTCATTTCTGGCGTGTGGTGAGTCCGGAGAGCTGGCCATGCTGAGCTGGTCTCCCCACGTAGTTACCCCCCTCTGTAAGTGAGGCGTGGGCTCTCCAGCTGGACACGCTCCCCACCACCTGCTTGTCTGGCTCATCTCTCCTTACGCTAAATAAACATATCTTGCTGGGCCATGTGGGCATTTGAATTTGTGAACTTGGCAGGAGTGCACGCAGCCTGTGAGGGGTATCCCCTGGCTCCTGCTGGAAAGTGAGGGGAGAGATGATTTCTAAGAAGTTCGTTTTCACAGAACTCTTCTGAGCCTTGCCCAGACCAGAAGAGGCAAGGGAAGATGCCAGTCTGTCACTGAACAGGACCTGCACTGGGAGCTGCTCCCAGGAGTCTCCAGTCAAGCCGAGGAAGAAGGAATATAGACAGGCATGTGGGACACCAGGTGACATGGGTTGTGCTAGGTCTACCTGGGGCATGGGGTCCCACAGCATGAGGGACTCACCAGGCCTGCAACAGTTCCATGCATCTGACTTGAACAAAGTCTTAAAGGGTGAGTAGGGTTTTGCCTCAACAGAGAGAAAGAGAAGAGCTTTAGACCAGGACCATGGAGGCAAAGCCAAGTCTAAGGAGGCTAATCTCTCCCGGAGGGCAGAGGGCAGCCACTGAAGGCTCTCAGCCAGGGAGAAACAGACAGCCCAGTCTCTTTGTCCCGGGACTCTGGGCCCAGCCCCAACCCTCTCAGATGGGCGCTCACTCACCGAGGGTCTGCTGGTTGCGGACGCCGCCGATCACCACACAGATCTCGGCGGGCACTTCGCCGGTCCCATCCTTGCTGACTGCCTTCTTCTCTTCCTTGGCCTCGCCCTGCCAGATCACCTCCTGGATGTAGTCGTCGGGCACCTCCGTCTTCACCTTCACCTCTGTCATCGTTCCCTGCTCGGCACTCAGCGAGGCCTCGGCCGGCACGGGCTCTGACCCCTCCACCTTGGTGATCTTCTGGCTGCGCTTCAAGCGCTCCCTGGGAAAAAAGAGGAGTCTGTTCAGTGTGGACCCCGTATTCACCCCCAGACCTACCTGGGAGCCCACCAGCCCAGGGGGTTGTAAACTGCTTAGCTACAGATCCACCTCTCGCATGAACCTCACCTTGAAGCACACAGCTCATGGGTGCCCCCGAAGGTTCTCCAAGGAACCCTGGGGTTCCAACCACACAGTTTAAAAACACCGGCTAGTCTGGCTCCAACTCTACCCATTTTACAGACGGGGAAGCTGGGGTCTAAAGAGGTCTAAATGTGCCCAGTAACTTCTGTAACTAGAGTCGTAAGAGAACGACAAGGGAGCTCTGGCTTGTCGAACTCGGTTCTTCTCAGGCTACAGTGTACACAGAAATCAGCTGAGAATCATGGTA